AGAGCAGGACCCATGTGCACAAGGCATCCAGGTAAGTCAGCCCAGGTGCCTCATCAAATCCAGAACGGAAGCCTGGTCTGAGTCAAAGGGAATGAGGACTCTTCTTAGCAATGAAGGGCAGATGCAGTGACCCTCAGATAAAGCCTGTGTGTCGGGAATGTCAGAGAAACCTAGCTAACACCACTTGGAGACCTTGTCCATCATTTTTTAAAAATATGTTTTTATTGATTTCTGGAGTGAAAGGGACAGGGGGAGAGAGAAACATTGATGAGAAACACTGATCGGCTGCCTCCTGCACACTCCCTACTGTGGATAGAGCCTACAACCTGGGCATGTGCCCTGACTGGGAATTGAACTGGCGACCTCTTGGTGCATGGGATGGTGCTCAATCCACTGAGCTATACTGTCTGGATGTCGTCCATCATTTTAAGAAAGGTGTACCATTTTCTAATGTTGGGCAGGTTATTGGTGCATGCATGCATATGCGTGCACACACACTTATTTTTAATAACTTGGAACACAGAGTTATTTCTTCACATTGTAAATCCTCAACTCCTATATCTCTTGATATAATGAATGTAACCTTCTGACTCTGAGTTAGCACAGGCCAGATTCAACATTCCTCCCTGTGCTCACACTTCCAATTCTAGAATCACAGAGCAGGCTGACCTGCTAAAATGAATTTTCTCAGGAAAGAGAGCTGTGACTAAAGAACGTTTCTGATACCAGCAACAGATGCTCTGGGAACTAATTCAGGCGAGAGTGTACACAGATACAGTAACGAAACTGCCTGTTACACATACTGTGAGAAAGTATGTTTACCTCTCTCCCAAGTTGGGCTTTTTGGGGATGGAATCTTAAAAAATAACATGGCTTTATTTGGGCCTTAATGTGCTCTTAATTTTCAAATGAGGTCTACAAATTAAATCTGAACCTTTCACTGAGCCTAATATGCCCATCCCTTCCCCTCAAGTCCTCTTTTCCCACTTAATCATGGCCCTTTTAATGAAACTAAAAAGTGTCCAGATAAAAATCCAGTTAGGCAAAGGTTGCTCATCATCTCAGCTAACTCTGCTGAAGTTCATGAAGGGTTCGAATGACTGTTGTGGAGATTAAAAGGGTAGAATTCTTCTGGAAATTCAGTAAAAAGCTGAGTGAATTCTTTATGGATAATGGGATCCATTTTTAGAAATGCACTGTTCATTTCCAGCCAGATGTCCTGCTGAACCAATGATAAAAATACTGTTTTCACATCCCAGTACAGCAGGTCCTCCACTAGCGTTCAACAATGTTTCATTACAATGTTTATGAGATATTGTAGGAAAATAACTCTTGCTTGTAACAGCTAGCCTATAAAATTGGTGTCATTAGATGTCATTTTGCTGTAGGGTCAAGTGAGAACTTACTGCATCTGTTTATCTCTAGTAACAAAGAAATCAACAAAACAAAATCATTTAGCCAACAAATTCTATCAAAGTCTCCAGAGACTAGCCAACAATAAATGCTAAAGGTCTCTGCTCTATTTGGACCAGAATAGAGATAAACTGCACAGGGACAACATGTGCTCTGGGCATTCTGCATGCCATTTAAATGCCGGGGAAGCCCCTCGCCTTCTCCCTGGGGGAGTGGGGAGTAGAGAAAGGGGTCCCTCAATGCCATTTCCCTTTTTTAGACTGATAAGTTTATATAACACTAGGGGTCCAGTGCACGAATTCGTGCACCTTGAAAGGAACTATGGACCTTGAGGCTGTGGTAGGCACAGAGGTGGGTCTTGACCCATCCTCCATGCCCCCGCCTGGCAACCTCCCACCATGGCCCCAAGCCCGTCTGCCAGCAGCCTTGCTTCTGCTGCCGCCGCTCTTATGCACTGATGGCACCAGCTCCACTCACATCCGCTAACTGTGCAGAGCAATTGGGGCAGGCGCTAGCAGTGGGTGTGAGCAAGGCCGGCACTGTCAGCAGGTGTGAGGGGTGGCTGTTGCCCAGATCGCCCCTCAGGAGCAGGGGGAGGTGGAGAAGCCCACAGGAGCAATCAGGGCCGGCAGCCTCCATTCGCACCTGCTGATAGCACCTAGTGAGCGGGACTGGCACTGGGTACTGGCAGTGGGTGCAAGCAGTGGTTCCAACACCAGCAGTGGGTGTGAGCGGGGCCAGCGCCAGCAGCAGGTGCAAGCGCCAGGCAGGACAGCTGCGTGTGGAAGCAAGAATTTTCAGTAACCACCAGAGGCTTGCCCTGATGACAGCGATCAGTGCCCCACCTTCATCTGGTGCTCCCACTCACCTGCTCTACCATCCCACCATGGCCATGACACGCCCTCTCGTGGTCAGCACACATTATAGTGACTGGCTGTTCTGTTGTTCGGTTGTTCCATTATTCGATCTATTTGCATATTAGCCTTTTAATATATAAGATCATACCTTAATAGTATCATATGTTCAGGGGCTGTATTTTTTCTTTGTAATCCACACTGATAATGAGGCAGTGAGTACTCTGCAGTCATTTTCAGTTTATCTCAGGCTGCTAACTTGGTGATGGTTAAGTAGTACCTAAAGTCCTGTACATGTGATTAAAAGTAAGTAAATGAAGAATAAAGAACTCAGATGCTCTTTCTTATTTCATCTTTGCCAACCATTGTTCTTAAAATAATAACTTTAGGGAGTATTTAAATCTAGACTTTAAAAGTTCAGCTCTGCCCTGGCCAGGTGGCTCATTTGGCTAGAGCATCATCCCACACACCAAAAGTTTGTGGGTCCCATTCCAGCCAGGGTACATACCTATATTGAGGGTCCAATCCCTGGTTGGGGCATGTACGAGAACAAACACTGTTTCTCTCTCACATCAATGTTTCTCTCTCTCTCTCTCTCTCTCTCTCTCTCTCTCTCTCTCTCTCTCTCTTTCTCTCTCTCTCTCTCTCTCTCTCATCATTAAGAAAAGTTTATCCTCTGGTAAGGATTTTTTTTTTTTTAAAGTTGAACTCTTAAGAATTTTCCAAAGTTATTAATTTTATTAATGGTAAACCCCTTCAATGAATTATTTTAGGGCATTAAGGCAACTATTAAAGCATTTATCTTTTCAAAATTAAATTCACATATAGGCAAAACCAATGGTGATGACATTTCATTTGGATCTACTGAACAGTCAAAAAGAAAAGAAAATCAGAAAAACCTAGATGTTTAATTTTATAAGGGAAGCAAAGAGAAGCTCTGAGCTGGTGCTTGAAAATACACAGAAGAGGCAGGGAAGCACAGTTTCCTGGAGAGTGTTCAAAAAAGGCTGGGCCTGAAAATTCCAGCTCACACCCGCCCTTCTTAGAGCATTCTCCACAGGCAGGCCGGCAGAGCGGAGGGACTTAACAATGGCTCTACCTATGGGGCTGGCTCGGGGCACAGTGCCACTTAATCCTCATACTCATTATTCAGGAGGAAGGTAAGCTAGAAGGAGAGAAGCTCCCTGGCTCCCAGTCAAAATTTACAAAAGACCATCACTAGGAAGTGAAGAGATCTAGAAGAAACCGTGGTTGGATGTAGGTGCTTTATGTAACCACCATCGAGGAAGGCAAAAGTCAAAGTACAACTCCAAGGCCACACAGAAGAGCCTGACTAATGCCATCCCCCCCCCCCCCCCCCCATTTAGGCTTAGTACGTAGATTCCTCGGGTTAATGAGAAAGGAATCCAATAATGTCCACTTCTGAACAGTTAAATGCCAAGACTGTGAGACACATGATAGAGTAATAAGATACATATGAGATCATCTCTTAATCTTCTAGATTAAAGGAACAAAACAGGTTTCGGATCTACGGTCTCCTTAGTTCTGTTCAGAATTCCAAATCTATTGTGAGTCCTTTGATAGCTGTTCCTTCTCTCTCTAAGCAGAAATTATCCGCTTTCTCTAACTCCCATACAGCAACTTATGGCCCATTCTGAGTGTTTTTCACATTGTGATTTGCACTATAAGTAAAAGTGTAAATTCCTTGAGAGCCACGACCCTGACTTTGTATTCTGCGATTCTGCCAGAATAACAGATTTCTAACAAATGGCTGTTAAAGGTAATCGAGTGCAGCCGTTAAGAATACGAGCCCTGCAGCCTGAGACTGTCCAAGTTTAAGCCCTGATTCTACCACTAATTTTGAGATGGCGGGAAAGTTTCTAATCTTCATGTCTCCATTTTTTTTTTTTCAAATATAAAACTGGCACAGTAGTTATTGTGAGCATTAACTGAGATAATACCTGTAATGGGCTTAGAATGGTACTTGGCATATACTTAAGTGTTGAATGAATGTTGCCTAGTAATCAGTAGTCATAGTAATAACACATTAATAAATGAATTAATAAATGACTGATATACATGGAAGAATTATCATAAAAACTAGGGGGGATCCTGATGCTGGGTTTTCCTTGAACAAATGACAGTATTTCTCCCAGATTTAAACCTTTCACAATTAGATAAAATACAGGACATTCAGTTAAGTTAAATTTTAGATAAACAACAGTACTTTTTTGGTATAATTATGTCCCAATAGTGCATGGTAAGAGAAAACTGGTAAACTAGCATCTAGTAGAATAAGAACACTGGTTTGCTGTTTTTTAAAAAAAGTCTCTAAGTCTTAAAAGTTACTGCCTTGCTCTTTTAAATAATTTCCCAGTTTACAACTTTCAGGAGGGTCTCCTTGTCACACCTTTACAGTCCTTACCACCAACAGTAAGTTGAAGTAAAAATGAGAATTTTAAACCAGATAAAGGAAGATGCTCTTTCTGTATATCTCCTCTCTTTAAAAAGTCAATAAAAACATATTTTAAAAATAAACTGGTGTCGATTCTTTGAGGACATTTCCATAAGAGGGAGGTTTCCACAGAATCCAGAACACATTAGGCATGCAGGTTGAGAGTATTATGATATCTCACACATACTCTATGTTCATTAGAAACAGGTCTTCTTTGATAAGTAACATCACACGCATGCTTTCAATGCCAATGAACAGGCTTGCAGTGGGGATCTTACCCCTCAGCACGGATTTGAGGTTGAGCTTGGCTTGGCGGTGCAGGTCCTCCACGCAGGGGGGCCTCGAGGTGGGGAGGAACACGTTCTCCTGCTGGTGCCAAGGCGCGGTGTAGTGGACCGTCCATCTGCTCTCCTCATCGAGGTTGGAGACCGCTGTGGAAGGAGAGTCAGAGTCAATCCAGCTGTCAAATTAAGTTTCACTGGCTCTACATGTATTGCATCAAAATGGGATCTTGGTGCCCAACACATCCCTGGGCTAAGGGCCAGCGAGAGGGAAACGGAGCAAATTCTAAGTGAGCTTTGACCTTAGACATCAGGGGTCCCTTCCCATAGTGTTTTTGTCTCTAAAGGAACTGGTGAAACTCTCCATCATGTTTTGGTAGAAATGTTTACTCAATTAACTGCTTCTTAGCATTTTAGACCCTCCCTCTAAGCCAATGTTAGAAAATGATTGACAGAATTGATAGAGACCTCCAATTCCTACCTAAGTCCACCATGACAGGAATCTGCTACTCAATTATATAGAGCCATTGCTCAGTAAACGTTAGAGTATCAGAACAGGAACAAATTTCCTACTGAGAAGTTGAGACAAAATAGTTCCTCCCTTAAGCATTATTTTAAAATATCACTGTTGTAAACTCAATTAAATTTAAAAATTAAGCATAAGCAGTCAATGTAATTCATTTAAATAGCATACCTAATAGAAGTAGAAGTCAATTTGTGCTACGAAATTTTCTTTGTATTTCTTGCTTTCATGAAATACTTTTATATTAAAATGGGTGTTTTTTTTTAATTCCAATGTAATTTACTTTTCACAACACAATCCAATTCAACTGAACTTTCCAACATAACAGAGATTAAAATATTAGGAGGAGGAATAACAGGTAATCATGAGAGAATGCCAAATCTCTACAATAATTTTTCTTTATATCCCCCTAGGGCTTGAGACCTCTTTGTCTATTTCACTTTCCCTAACAACACAACCTAAAATAGCATACCAGTGGAGCACCAAACAGATTCATCAACAATTTTTATAAAGATTTTTAGAGAGGAGAGGGAGAGGGAGAGAAAGAAACATCGAGAGGAGCATGAAACATAGATTGGCTGCCTCCTGTATGCCCCCCACCAGGGATCAAGCTAGCAACCTTTTGGTGCACAAGAGACGGCACCCAACCAACTGAGCCACACCAGCCAGGGCTCATCAAAAGTTTTAAGTACTTTCTACATACAGTATCTGCCACTGCGAGCCAATCATAGAATAGACTAGAGAAGTGTAAGAGAAAGACCCTGCGCTGAGTCATTTGCAGGTGGTGGCAAGTATAGCACCTGTAAAACCAGCAGATACTAAAATTGTGAGACGGGGGCGAGTCTTCCCTAACCATGACTGATGATATAGAGGGCACAATGGGCGGACCCACATCTCTGGTAACTAAACCATAAAACAGATTCTCAAAATAAAACGAGCAGGCATACATGAACTATTCAACCTTCTATTTGAACATATTTGAAGTCAACACAGTGGACCCCATAGCACAGCTACCACGTCTATTATAAAGATCATGTGAACAACTATATGTAAAGTCTTAGCTCACAAAATAACTCATGGAAAGCCTGGGTGAGGCAGCAGCAGCGCATTTACCCCGAGGGAGCCCCTGACTTGTAGCACCATCACTAATGAGAAGTTGTCCTTCCTCAGCAATCCCAGGAACCTGAGCCAGAGGTTAGCTCTCACTCCCCCTCTCTGCAGCTACTAAATTCTACAAGCCTTGATTCCAAATAGTTCATTTCCTATGTGATCCCACCCTCTCCATCAATTGCTAAATGGGGAAAATAAACGCTGAGACCTAGACATTAAGTTATAAACAGAAAGGTCCCGTGTGCTTTCTGCTTTCAGTGTTGGACAAAGAAGCATGCACATTAGGCACCGGGATTCGCCTAACCTCTTGTTGAACAAATGTTTTGCATGGCGCATATAGCTCTCGATCTTCAAACATAACATCCACAAGGACCCGTCTAAGCTCTTACATACATGTCTGATAATCCTGAACAGTTCGGAATTCGCCGTATGTACCCTAAAGAGGAGCCCTAGTCAATTACAATGTTTTGGGCTCATGTCCTTGTATTTGAAAGACTGAATGACCCGCTTTCACAGCTGGAAAATACTGAAAATGGAAACTTCCTATTTGCCAATTACAAATCAAGTCCAAGTAATACTATTGGAGTCTGTGCAACCACACCATTAGCCCCCTGCACAGCCACCAGCTGCTCCTATGAATGGGCAGCGGTCTCTCCCCGGGTTTTCTCCTTCTTGCGGGGGCAGATGCCAGGCAGTCCATCCACAGACAGCCTTCCAGTGGCAGAGCCGCAGACAGCGATCCCGGGGTGCAGTTCTCGGTTGCTTCCTCCACAGTTTTTCTCACCAATGGCTCCTGCCCTTGCACAATTATCCGGTTTCAATCAGTGGTCCCAAAACCAAGCTAAAACGAATCAACCAATAGCTAGGTAAAAACAAAACCGTGTGTGTGTGAAAATTACACTTTTCCAGGGGATGAAGAAGCACCTGGATTAAAGAAATGGAAACCAATGGGGAGTGAACAATGAAGCCACACCGCAGAAGTGTGCACTTTACAATGGCGGGCCCATCTAGACAGAGTTTGTGCTCCAGTTCTGAAACACAAGACAGAGAGTGCCAGGGGAGTTAGAGGATCATCACCACCAAAAATATGTGACACCTAACTCAGAGGTTCCCTGTACAGTCAGCCAAAGAATAAAACACACACACACACACACACACACACACACACACACACACACCAAAAAACATACAGCGGGGTGGACATAAAGTAAACACAAGGTCCTTCCCTCCACCTTCTTCAGAGGGCTTCTTTTAAGAGCACAAAAGCAGTGAATTCACCAGAAATCTGAGCCACAAATAAATAAGGCATGCTGAGATCACCTAATTCTGCCCTAGAGCCACCAAAGTCTGAGGTATTTGAACAACCTGCTTTAGAGTTGAGTTTAACATGTATCAATTATGCTCTTTCACCCTCTAATTCCACTACTCCAAAGGATGAAATAGTACACACACACACACACACACACACACACACACACACTGCCACAGCGGGGAGGAGAGAAACTACTTACTTTTCTTCTTAAATAGCTTAATGAAAGACTTGATCTTTGCGTTAATGAAGACCACCATTTCCAGGATGCCCACATAGGGCTTAGAAACTTAAATCCCATTCAGAGCTCAGTCCAGCAGGCAGGTGGCAAACTGCATCCCTGTGCTCCGGATTCTCGGATTCTCACTTCTTGCTCTGTCCTCCTATCATCAGACATCTGCCCAGGATGATGTAACTTGGAGGCTGAGCTTATTGTCAGGCAGTTACAAACCATTAACAGTCCTTGAACCTGAAAATCTCCCACTGAAACCTAATCTCTGGGGCCGAGAGCCTCCAGTGACAACATGAGCAGGAAGAGAAAGCCAATCACAGTCCTTATTTGCATGATAGCCATGGCCGTCTTTCTGCCCCTGGGCTCATGTCTTCCACTTTCTTGCCAGCAGATCAGAAGTTCCTCCTCTCCAGAGTCCAGAGAGCAGTGCAGCTCACCTCTGCGGAGGTCAAGGTGAAGCACATGGGCTCCCCATTTTCACGAGGCCCCGAGAACGCCCAGATCTGTTAACTGGAGCCCACGATTCTAAGAGCAAGTCTGTGTTGCTTCTTTGACTCTCCAGTTAATTCAGGCATGGGAATTGATTTTAGGAGAAAAAGAGCCAAACTATTGTTTCCCCGGCCACGCCCCCAGGCTCTGCCTGCCTTGCCAAAGTAGTAAAACTTTACAACAGAACCTCCATTGAGCTGTAAGTGATGGCTTGGTTGCATTTTCCTGCAAATTAGTCCGCCCAGTATTCTCACCCAGTTGTGGGGTTTTTTTTTAGCCAGTGATTGAGAACCAGCACTGTAATTGTCCCAGTTTGATCTTACTTGCACTTAGCTCTCACAACTCCCTCCCTCCCAAAACCCCAGCTTACCCACTCCAAAGGAGAAACTAGATGGAGTACCTTAATCATTAGGAAAACAAAATGAAATAAAGTACCCTAATCATTTAAATCTGTATTTTGAGTTTAATTACCATTTAAGATCCTGGCTAAAAAGTTACACACACACACACACACACACACACACACACACACACACGCTGCTGGTGGGGAAGAAGAGGAGTAATTTCAAAGAAACATTATCTGGGTTTCTCTTTAACATGAATATAATAGTATACTTAGTGTTCTGGTTCTTTTGTCCATCCTCAGAGAACTGGGGAAACACAAATAAAGAAGAGTCAGAAATGGGGTTTAAGCAGGATCTAGAAAACATATGTTCTGGGGTAAAGAAACGGGAACAAAAAGAAAAGAATACAGATCAGGAAATACTACAAAAAAGAACAAAGAAGAAACAATACTCCTCACATCTCTCCCCAATTCCACTTTATGGCAATGCAGTCTTTGAAACACGTTAGACAACCCTCTTAGTTCATAGCCTTGGGCCAGACTTATAACTGAATGGGGAAATGTAATAACCCACTAATTCAAAACATTTAGTTATAACAAAAACTCTCAAAGAGTAAAGCTTACGTAAGGGGCTCCCCCCAGGGAAAGCTTTGGAAGGATTCCTCCACAAATCCTTCCCCTCCTCCATCTTATACTTCGAACAACAACAAAAAATAAAACAAGTTATTATCATATTAGCATTTGTATGAGAGATTTCCAAACTGTGGTCTTTCATCCTACCCAAAGCTTTGCTTAAAAGCAATTACATGGCCAGATGGTAGGTTAAATTCTATAGCTGCCTCCCATTGGTGGGCACAGTTCCCCTGAGGAAAACCAATGCATGAGCAACAGTGACCTTGCTCATGAGGGTTGCCTCTCAACCTTCATCGCAGTGGAGACAGTCCTAGTCACAGCCCACACGGTGATGGGCACCACCCTACTTGCAATAGAAAGCAGCATGTAGCTTTTTCATGTACACAACAATGGCATCCGACCACTGACTCGTGCATGAAACAGGTAAAGACTGAGCACGTAGCAAGTTCCACTTATTTGAGATACATCAGTGAGATGCCCGCCCTCAGGAAGCTGACTTATCTGACGATAAACTACGATTACATGGCACATTAGAACACGGTAAGTGTAATGGACAAAAGAAAAAGTTGCTAGGATGAAAGGAGTTCTGGGGACGAGCAGGTGGCAGTATTGAGTGGAAGTCAGGGCAGACCTCACGGGAAAGGTGAGACTTGGGTAAAAAGGTTAAGGAGGCACTGGAAAGAAAACAAACATCTGTAGTGAGGACGAGGAAGGCCTCTTCATTGGGTAATGAGACTTTTCCAATCCGTCAGGACTAGTCGGAGAAGAGCTCTCAGAAGATGAACTGTAGTAAGAGCCACGCATGGAGTCCTTTCCTCCTCAGTGTTAGGCTGGTTATTACACGGCCACGGCTGTGTAATGATGAGGCCGCCAACTGGTTACACCTGGGTCAGGGGGAGTCCAGGGGCAGAACGCAGGCTCCATCCCAGGCACTGGTCCGCCATTCATTTATCGCATGCTGCTTCCTGACTCCTGAAGTCCAGATCGTCAGGTAGCAACCAACTCAAGGAGGGTTTCTGTTGTGTTACATACTACGTTGTGTTTTGAAATAGCTTACTAATTATAAAAAAGTTCCCCAGCCAAAACCGGTTTTGCTCAATGGATAGAGCATTGACCTGCGGACTCAAGGGTCCTGGGTTCGATTCCAGTCAAGGGCATGTACCTGGGTTGCGGAAACATCCCCAGTAGGGGGTGCGCAGGAGGCAGCTGATTGATGTTACTCTCTCATCGATGTTTCTAACTCTATATACCTCTCTCTTCCTCTCTGTAAAAAATCAATAAAATATATTAAAAAAAAAAAACAGAAAAAAAACCTTCCCCAATAATTTTATCATCTCTCGATATCCTCATAAGCATGAGAACAGGTAAGTGCTTTCATCTTATGATCTGCATTGCCTCCATGCCATAGTTTATTAAAGAGCCATGCTTTTATGGAAATGTCTAATAATTTTTGATTGCTCAATTTATACACCCAACAGAAAACGTATAAATAATACCTCCTATTCCAATGCTAGTCCTATAACAGCAACAACAGTTAAACCAAAGTTCTAATATCCCAAATGTGGACTACTTCACTGCACAGCACAGAAGGGAAGAGCCAACTCCGGAGCCACCCACCCAGGATGCTGGCCACTTCCTAGAACTGTGCCCTCTCCATACCTCAGTTTTCTCATATGTAAAACGGGGGTCAATAACAGTATTGGTTATACAAGGTTAGTATGAGGATTCAAAGTTATTATTGACTAAGCCTTAGAACTGCACCTAGTACATGGTAAGCATATATATATATATATATATATATATATATATATATTTGTTGGATTAATAAAATCTTAAGAGATCGCTAAGCTGCCCTAAGCTTTTTAAAGGTTCATTCATGCTTAACAGACAGGAGTCCACTTCCCAGATTTCAGCTGTTTTACTTCTTATCTTAAGTGAAACTGTGGGCTCCATGAATGTGGGCTTCAAACCTGTCATTTCTACTTTTTATGCACACAGTATCTTTTTTCGTACAGCCCTGCTGGCTTATCTTAGCCCAAGATTTGAAAATTCTATTACCATTACTATTGTATAAATGCAGGCATCCTTATTCATAAAGTTCCAACACTTTTGCTTAATCTTCCACTGAAATAAAATCTTATTCTCAACTAAATTTTAATTTTTTAATTCTAGGAATCATCTGATTCTTTCCATACTTAGCTGCATACTTCCCATGAGCAAGTATATGACCTACCAGCAAAGGGATTTGCAGGAATATTTCACAAAATAATACGTATTCTAAAAATTTTGACTGTAACTGTGCATTAATGTTCAACCATTCAGCCATTAGACACTGAGCACTGATTGGCTGGTTTGTGTTAGGTATCCGGGTGAAAAGTAAATCCAACATGGTCACTGGCCTTGGGAAGGTTCCATAGTCCAGTAGGGAGGACACACCCAAACAGGCAAACACAATAAAATGAATGAGGGCAGGGAGAGAGATAAGATCACGGAAAGATGATAAAGGGCATGGATCTCATTTGGAAAGCAAACAGCTGATAGAGGACACAAGAGCAGAGGGGACTCAGGTCCTGGGACACACAGGGAAGAGGCTTCCCTGTAAGCTTACAGGAGGGTGATGGGGGAAAGAGTGGCAGGGGAGGCAGAGAGAGAAGCAGAGACCAGATCCTGGAGGCCACTGCTTGTAAGGAGGTGGATTTTCCATAGTGGGCTAGGAAGTCACCAAAAGAGGTTAAGAGGGAAAGCTGTATGGTCAGTGCTGCTTGAGCTGTGCATTGGACTGGCTGGGCAGGGGCCGGGGAGAGAGACACTGGGGAACTGGGCCAGCAATCCACGCCCAAGGGGAGGAGGTCAGATCCAACTCCCATGCAGGGCTCTTTTTCTACAACTCCCTCGCTCTTATCTGCCTGTAGTGAGCAGTTTATAATGTTTCAGGAACCATCATATACGTAAAGTTTAACAGTCTAAAAAGTAAAGCCCCAACTAGTCAACAAATGACTCAGTTACTAACATTCAAGCTTCATCTGTAACACAGCCTTATAATATACTCATTGTTTTTATTAGACACAGAAGATTATATGCTTAAACCTAAAAGCTTCTTATGAGTAGAGTTGTCCATGGCTCTCAGAACTACTCATAGATAAGGCTTCCAGGTCCCTCTAGTCCTCCCCATTCCCCATGCCCACTCACATAAAACCTCAGGCCTTCCCAGGTGTACTAAGTGTAGCTAGGGTATTAAAAGTATTTATTTTGAAGGCAAACACCTTCACAAACTTTATTTACTAAAATACTGTACATGGAATTATAGGCAGAAGCAAAGAATATTATATACATATATATATATATATATATATGTATGTACATTTCAAACTACATAAAATCAAATCCTAGATCAATTGAAGTGGAATATATAATCAATAAAGATCACTGTGGTCTTCTAAGTTGGGAGGGGAAGAAAGGGGGAAAAAAACCAGACATAATGGAGTTCTCTTCTGATTAGGGTCATGTACTGAATAATAATTTTAAGCACTTCTCAAAGACATCTTAACTCTTCAAAAATAGAAAATTTCTGTCCAACCTTATCTATAAACGGTGCCTTTACTGTCAGTCTGTTTTAGACTAGTTTAAAATCAAGCTTAATATCTGAAATAGAAGGTTGTACAAGACTGAGTTAATTTAGGTATAATCATTATCTTTATGCGTTGTTAAAATGCTTGAATTAAAATTTTTAAATTCATGGGCACACCATTCTTGTGCTTTTCAGACTTATTGGAGCTTTGGAAAACATCATAGCAGAAAGTATTCAATATAAGCCCCTGGTGCTATAAAATAAAATATATACACTTGGTAGTAAGAGATTTTAGAAATTTCTAGAAATTAACTAGCAACATAATCTACTTCATAAACACTATAGCCTTGGCTGGTGTGGCTCAGCTGATTGAGCATCATCCCATGCACTGAAAGGTTGCCGGTTTGATTCCCAGTCAGGGCACATGCCCAGACCATGGGTTCAATATTCTGTGGGGTATAAGCGGGAGTCAATTGATCGATGTTTCTCTCTCTCTCTCTCTCCTCTCTCTCCTCTCTCTCTCTTCATCTCACTTCTTCTCTCTCTAAAACAAACTTA